GCCCCTATCTATTATAAAGTATCCTCCGTTGCAACGCAGTCCAGGACGCATTGTGTATATAATGCAAATATATTTAAACTGAAACTGCTGCGTGCTACAGATAAACTACCTGTTTGTGAATTTTAATAAAACAAGGCCACTCTGTGTAAATATAATTAGACAAGCCCTAATATGTAAGGAAAGCTGATGTTTCAATATAGGGTTTTATCTATTATAAAGTATCCTCCGTTGCAACGCAGTCCAGGACGCATTGTGTATATAATGCAAATATATTTAAACTGAAACTGCTGCGTGCTACAGATAAACTACCTGTTTGTGAATTTTAATAAAACAAGGCCACTCTGTGTAAATATAATTAGACAAGCCCTAATATGTAAGGAAAGCTGATGTTTCAATATAGGGTTTATAGAACCAATTAGGACAACCTTAGCCTTCTGCTGAGCTGCTTTCTATTTGGCAGGACTCTGTTCAGCTTCCAGGATCCTCCTCTCCTTTCATTTGCCCCACCCCAGCGGGATGGATTTACCTTGTTCTTTGTTAGCTATAAGCACTGTAACAAGTTAATCTATACTGGCCATTCCACTGGATAAAGAACGTTGTAACAAGTTGGGCAGAAATTCCTGTTATACAAGACTGTGTGGGGTATCCCTTCTCATTTCTCATGTTCCAAAGTTCCTGAATCTTAAAAAAGTCAAAAGTAGCCTCTTCACTAATTATAATCCATTTGGGATGTACATAAGGTATTGGGTGTGTGTGTGCCTGTGTGTATGTGCCTTAATATTTTTGCCCATCATGAACACTGTAGTTTTGGTTTGAGAAGTAATTCCATTATAAGCATCTCTCTGTTGCAGCTGTAACTTTAACTTCATAGAAACAAATAATACCTCAGAGGGGTAGCCGAGTTAGTCTGTAGGATCAGGGCCCATATGGGTGAATGCTGCAGGATGGAGCCATTAATACTGCTTCATGTATACAATGTGCCTAAAAAAGAAAACATTTAAAATCCGTGACTTTCAAATATGTGCATTCCCCTTGCCACAGCTAGTCTTAGTACAGTGGTGTTCCTTGAGCCGGGGTCTCAAACTCATGGGTCGCAGGCCATCTACAGCCCAGGCAGCTCCCCAGTCCAGCACATGAGTCCCTGTGGCCCTGGAGGGGTCAGTACCCTTCATCCCCCTCCTACTCTGCCTTGCCCCGCTTCTTCCCACTCCTGCTCTTTCCTCTCCACCCATTGCACCCCTTATCCCAAACACCTCCCCCGAGGGATGTGGCCTCTGGGATTACTAGGAGGCCTGGTGCAGGGTGGCATCAGGTGATCGGGCCCCTCTCTCCCTCCTGCATTGCAGGAAGCAAAGCGACTGGGCTAACCTGGGAGATGGTGACAGAGAGGAGCAGGCCACTGCATCGCTCCACTTCCCTGCGACTCCCACCATTGTGGTGAGTGCCGGGAAGCCTGACCCCAGCCGCCCCTCCCACAGGCTAACCTGAGTGTGAGGGATCAGACCATCTGTAGGAGGTTGGAATGGCCATGGGGGCCCACAAAGAGTGGAGCCCTGAGCAGCTTCCCCCACCCATCCTATGGATGGGATAGCTCTGCACACATGTCCCCAGACCACAGGGATGTCCTGACAGTGATGCAGAGCTTGCAGCCAGAAGCTGCTCTAGTCCCTGCTGTACTGCTGCTGGTAGCAATGGAGGCCCCCGGTGGGGTTTAAATTGCCCCAGGGTGGCAGGCAGGGCTGGGGAGCATGTGTCCTCTCCCACCCCTCCCAGGGCCCTGCCAGAGGCGTGTGCCCGCTGGCTCACTAGGAGGATTTGATGACTGGCATGGCCCTAAGGTAAAGTAATCTTCTTGGACAGGTCTCAGATTCAATTAGCCATTGTTGTTAATGGCTCTTCATGTATATCGCAGCTGGTCAATAAGTGCCAGTGGATGTTAAAAAGCATTTTTATAAACACGTAACTGCTGAATTTTTCAGTGGTTGCATTTTTACATACAGGGGGTGGGAGGCGGCTCCATGGGAACTGGTGCACATGAGGAGCTGGTTTGAAAGCTGGCTGTGAACACTGGCTCCTCTCCTGCCTGCCTGCACTGCTGCCTCTGATACAGTAGTAGCAGTACAGAAATGTGGGGCAGGTGGCTTGTGGGGAGCTGGCCCCATGAGCACCGGGTTCTGCCTCGGAAGCCAGTTCTCACAGGGACCCTGCTTAAAAGTTGGCTCCCTGAAAGCACTGGCTCCCTGCAAGCACTGGCTCCTGTCTGCAACCCCCACCCTCGCCCTTGTGCTGGTGAGGAGATTTGCATGTAACTGTGATGGTGGTGAGGAGATTTACATGTAACTGTGAATATTAACCAATGAGCCCAGGCTCATTGATTAACCATTTAATTGTGTATATTAACACATCCCTTGTAGGTGCCTTGTGCCTTAGTAGTTGTTTCTTAAATATGGCATAGTGCCCCATGAATTAGGGTTCTTTGAACTCAAATTTGCACACACTTCCTCCTCTTAAAAGTGGCTAAACCAAACATAGAAAAAGTTTTCATTCTGAAGAAGAGTCAGAGGTGCTTTTGGTACCACTGTGATCAAAGGATCACACATTTTTCTTCATCTTTGTCGTTTCTTTACTTTGGGTCTGGAATTGATTACATAACACTAAAGCACAAGTGTATTATTTGTGAATAGCTTTTGCATGCATATCCGCGCAGCATAAATAAATGAGGCTGCTTGGTTGGCAAGTCAGTTTCGGTTGTACACAAATGGTTAGGCAGCTAATATAACTAGATAGAACTATTGTAAGAATGCAGTAATTTAATATGTCTTAGAAAGTTTTCATTAGGCTTTCACTACTATAATTATAGGTCCCAGTCCTTCAAAGACTTACCCATGTGCTTAACTTTACGCAATGAAGCCACTGAGATGACTTGTGTGTATAATAATATTTATGTGCATAAGTTCTTGCCATAATTAAGATGTATATAGTATGGGTGTGTGTACTTTTCAAGCACAATTGCACTAAGATTAAGACCAAAATAGAGATGTTATTGATTAGGGATGCTATAGCAATCTTGATTTAATCCTCTTATGCCTAAAAACATCAACATCAACAGAAGGTTACATAAGGGTGGGTTTTTTTGTTTTTGAAACAAGTTGTAAATATTTAAGGACTGTTTCTCCTGTGAGTTTTCTATTGACCAACAGGAAATGTGGAATTTTATATAAGGCTTGTAGTTCTGTATTAAAATTTATTATACAGTTGGTTCCTAGTAATTTCCATAGAACGCTTTTGATTTAATTTTTACTGAGTTTAAAAGATTCTTTTGTAAGGTACTTAAAAAAAAAAAAAAAGGTTTCTAATTGGGGACCTCGAAGCATTTTAAAAACTCTATTGAGTTAAGCTTCATAGAGCTTGATGAGCTATGCACTATTATCATCCTTAGTTTATAGAATGGGAATCTGAGGTGAAGATATTAAGTGACTTTCCCAAGGTTACATGCTAGGGTATAGCAGAGCCTGAAAGAGAAGCCCAAAGTTAATTCTAGGGCACCCTGACCTAACAGGCAGCAGAAGTTAAGCTAGTTCCCAGGTCCAGCCTTAGGGCTACGTCTACATTGGCCCCTTTTCCGGAAGGGGCATGGTAATTTTTGAAATCGCAATAGGGAAATGCGCGGGGGATTTAAATATCCCCTGCGGCATTTAAATAAAAATGTCCGCCGCTTTTAGAAAAGCCGGAAAAGAGCGTCTACACTGGCCCCGATCCTCCGGAAAAGGGCGCTTTTTCCGGAGGATCGGGGCCAGTGTAGACGCTCTTTTCCGGCTTTTCTAAAAGCGGCGGACATTTTTATTTAAATGCCGTGGGGGATATTTAAATCCCCCGCGCATTTCCCTATTGCGATTTCAAAAATTACCATGGCCCTTCCGGAAAAGGGGCCAATGTAGACGAGCCCTAGGTGTCTGCCAGCCTAAGTGCAAAATGCTGTTGTCCTCTTCTCTCCACAAAGCAACTGAGCTCAAAAAAGAAAAAGGTAGACTGATATCCCCACACCGCATGTGCTGATTTAGAACCCCTGAAAGTTAGAGCCCAGGATGATCCCTCTGATGGCCAGCCAAGACAGATCTCTCTCTTCCCAGATGGATTCCCTTTTGGGGCTATTCCTTTTCACTCCTAGCTAGGCTGTTCTCCTGCTTTGCACCGACTGTGCCAGGTCACTGCAGCCCGTTAAGGAGACCAGTGTTAAAGTCCTCATCTTTCTACTCCCATGGTCACCAACCCATCGATTGTGATCGACTGGTTGATCGGGAGGGCTCGACCAGTCGATCAGGAGGTGTTCAGAGCCCCCCATTTTCCCCTTCCCCCCCAAGAAGCCCCACTACTTACCTCCAGCGACAATGGAGATAGTGTTGGATTCCTACGGGGTGGAAGGAAGTCTGGCAGTTGCGTGCCACTTTCGGGGTTTCAGGAAGTGCGCTGGCTGCTCCCCCGCCCCCAAACAGCCGGCATGGTACCGCAACCCAGATCTGTGGCGTGCTGGGAACTTGCTGCACAGGGGGGTAGGAGTCGCGGGAGGAGGTGCGCGCCCGGGCTTCCCTCCTCAGGAGAGGGGGTAGGAGACACGTGCTGGGGCTTCCCTTCACTGCGGGTGGGGGGGGGAGGAGGAATCCTGAGAGGAGGCGTGCATCGGGGATGGTACTTGGTCCTGCCTTGAGGGCAGGGGACTGGACTCAATGACCTCTCGAGGTCCCTTCTAGTTGTATGAAGGGATAGGAGTCCCGGGATGAGGCACGTGCCGGGGACTCCCTGTCCCTGCTTCCACTGGCACCCTGTCTCCTGCTGCAGAACCCTGTCCCCAGTGGCACCCTGTCCCCGAC